ATGTTACATTTAGTGTGTGTTACCCTTTGTGTGTGACATGTTGTGTGTGTTACATTAAGTGTGTGTGATATGTTGTATGTTACATTTAGTGTGTGTTACCCTTTGTGTGTGACATGTTGTGTGTGTTACATTAAGTGTGTGTAACATGTGTGTTGTTGCAGACCCAAACACCCCCGCCCGCCTGCAGCAGGCCTCCCTGCCCCTCCTGACTAACGAGGACTGCCGTCTTTACTGGGGCAGCAAGATCACCGACATCATGATCTGCGCCGGCGCTGAGGGAGCCTCTTCCTGCATGGTGGGTGGTCCCTCCGTCTGCTCTGCTCTGGTTCTCCTCAAGCTGGTCCATGTTTGACCTCGGAGGTCTCACTAATGTGCTGGTATCTTTTTGTTTTCAGGGAGACTCTGGTGGTCCTCTGGTCTGCCAGAAGAGCGGAGCCTGGACCCTGGTGGGTATTGTGTCCTGGGGCAGTGGAATCTGCAGCACCTCCATGCCAGGTGTGTACGCCCGGGTCACCAAGCTGCGCTCCTGGGTGGACCAGACCATCGCTGCCAACTGAGCGCGCTCAGTAGAACACCTCCACTTTCAACCTGACGTTCAATAAACCCCAGAAACTGTAACAACACGTCTCTGTCTTTTGTTTCTTCTTTTATTTTCTTACTCTTCATTTAAAACTCAGAGTTTGCAAAGCGAAGATTTATGCTGAGATGTGTTGAGATTGATTCTCAGCCACCACCTCATCAAAACCCATCTGTAAAGTTTAAATTTGATTTATTTATTTTTGTTAAAGTTGATCAGTTTGGCAGCCATCTTGAATTGGTTTGATTCCAAAGCCAAAGTTTAAAGTAGAGACGTTGTACTCAGAGGCAGAGCCAGAGGGGTGCCAGTGGTGGCAAGTGCCACCACTGGCCCCTGACTGGCCACCCCCTGGTGCCACCCCACAAATAATTGACAAGTAGGTGCAGATCTTGGATTTTGTATTTGCATTTGTATTTAGTTAGATTGTTCTCAGTTATTTCTGGGAATGCAACAGAAAATTCACTTTTCAGTTCAGTTTGATACTTTAGTTTCACGGTTCGATTTTTTTTCAATACAAAAAAGACAAATTTCCAAGATCTTAACTTGAAATTTATTGAAATTAGTTATGAACWTTTGTTTAATCGTGGTCCATGGGCAACGTGGGCTGTAGGGTCTTTCTGGTATTACTATACCAGTTAAGTAAATAGATTAAAAGCATTAATAATTTGGGTTTAGCTTCAGTATCAGTACTTGTAACTGCATCCAACTCTGAACCAGTTTCACGAAACTAGGCAAGCAGTTTGCTATCTGTAGCACTGGAGATGGGTGCTCTCGTGTCTTGTATTGAATTTTGCTGCAATGGCCCGGGTACTGCGTTCACCAGACATCAGCGCAATTCCTATCCGCTCCTCACGTGTTAACCTCCGCGACATGTCAATGGCTTTAAACAAAGAGAAAGTTGCAAATAACTCATGAAAGAATAAAGTTACGTTAAAACCAAGCATACTATTGTTTTTCTTGTCAAGTTCTCAATAAGTTTGATGTGTCACATGACCTTCTTCCCATTGAAAAAAAATTAAGTTGGATCCAAAATGGCAGACTTAAAGATGGCCACCATGGTCATCACCCATCTTGAAAAGTTTCCCCCCTCTCAAATACTAATGTGCCACAAACAGGAAGTTAACATCACCAACCATTCCCATTTTATTTAGGTGTATCCATGTAAATGGCCCACCCTGATACATGTATCCCTAGATACTGCACTTTATAGTGTTTTAGCTTTATATGTTTAAAGATGTCTATATTATAGCCCTTGGTAAAATTAGCATTAGCATCAGTGGTTAGCCTAATGTGGGATTAGCATTGGTAATCGGCATGTGATCATTCTTAGCTACTCAATGGCAATTTTTATCTCAATAAGTCTAAAAATGGCTGAGTAATTAATTATGGCATGTTGTTTGGATCATTCTTAGCTTTGATCATAAAATTTCAGCTCAAGTTTTTTTAAAACAGCTGAATTAAAGACATTTAGAATTAGCTGTGTTGGCCATCTTGAATTTTAAAATCTAAAGTGCTTTACTTTATTTGTATGCGCCCCCATAAAAAACCTTGGCCACCCCTGTTCCCCCGCCCCTTGCAATAAAGCCTAGCTCCGGCCCTGCTCGTCTTCTAAAAACTCCTGGAGAGTGAAGAGATCTTTTCAGCAGTTTATTTCACAAAACCACATTTAATCATATAAACATTCAAACATGGCAGCGGCTGCTCTTCAGGTGCGTCTGGGTGGGCAGGTGTGGCCGACTGGGCGGCAGTAGCAGATGGCGTTGTAGAAGCGGCAGTAGCAGGTGTCGCAGGGGTCGCAGCAGGGCAGCGAGTAGCCCAGGCAGAACTGTTGGTGGGGGATGCAGCGGCGGGGGGAGCGCACGGCCCGRCCCTGCAGCTGCAGCACCGCAGACGGATCCTGCAGGACCCAAAGAAAACTGGTCAGAGAACAGGTGCAGACCAGGATCCCGTCACAGAGTCAAATCCTGCACCTCATTGTTGGAGGCCGGCTCCATCAGGAAGCCATCTTCCTCTGAGTCCAAGAGGGCGGGGTCTTGAACAGGGCTGGGGGCGTGGCTTCTCTCTCCAGAATACAAGATGAAAACTGGTAAAACTATTTTGCATTTAGCAAACCAATAACTTAAAATAGAAGAGTAGCTTAACTAGCTAAATGTTAATATTAGCAAAACAGTAGTTAAAAGCTAAATTTAGCTAAATCTTAGCTAAAGGCTTAATGGGACACAAACAATGTTTTTTTGAGTTCAATGTTTTTGTGTGCACTTTTTTAAAAAAAAATTTGTAAATAGAGATTACGGAAGCGTAGAGCTGCCACATGACATGGAATAATGTGATTTTTACAGTAAAGTGCTTTGGTCAAACCCTATACAAGTAAATAAATGAATTATATCTGATGGACAGGTGGAACCCACCTATGTCAGACAGGTAGGACGTATCGACGCGGCGTCCTGGAATCGGACCCTCGTCTAGGTGGATGTTTCCATGAACCAGAGAGGAAGAGAGTCGCAGCAGACTGAAGGAGCAGCAGCAGAGCAACAAACCAGTGAACATCCTGCAGCTGTCAGACACCAGAGGGAGAAAAACCAGTGCAACCATCAGCTCATCCAACAGAACCACTGAGAGGAGAAATACATGACAATGGTTCTGCTGGTGTCTCTGTGTCCATTCATTAAAACACACAGAGGTCACAGAAATCACTGACACAACAACACCAGAAGAAACGTTTTAGTCAAGAGATTTCTGTAACTCTGAGGTATCTGCAGGGTGCAACAATACATTTATTAATTACATRATTTTTATCATTTATTTTATCAACTTGTCTTCTGAAGAGTCTCTGTGTTGAAGGATCAGTGGATCTGTGTTCGACTACTCCACCTAGGCTG